GGTATGACCCACCTTAGTGTGATGGTTGTTTTGAAAGCCGATTTGCTTATATACGATGGTTATTGCTACTGTGTGGTGGTTTAAACCGTTGAAATGCGTCGGTTTTACTGCAGTAGCTGCAGTTGCATGTATACTGAAGTGCAATGTTCTTACACTGTATTGGTCATGAATCAGCTTAAAGTTTGATTAAGTGTAGGTTTGTTATAACAGCTATCTCAAGAGACGAAAGTACTAGTATATAATATACTATAGTTTAAAAGTAAATACTCGAATATTAACTGCACCTTGATTACCTAAAGAAGTTTTGTATCGTAATTTCAACTTCATTACGTAGTTTACAATCAAATTAATACATCTGGTTAACATTCAGAATCGATTAAAGCATGTTGCATGGTCTAATCATGTGGAATTAGCAATTTTAAGTCATTGAAACCATTTCAGTTTTAAAATTTGGCCCTACACATATCTGTATTCAATGTATTACAAAAAAACGGGTACAAAACGTCTTGTTGTTGATGCCGGTTCCCGACTTCTGAATTGAATTTGACACTTCTACTGCGAGGATGTTTGATAGTGAGAAAAACGATCCCTATTTTTAAGTCCTAAGAAAGTTATCAATATATCGAGAAAACGGCTCTTGGAACCTTCTCACACGAAAAAACTTTGACGTTAACTAGGTGAACAGAATAGCTGAATTGTGGTCATCCTTGACTAAGAGGAGCCATCCAGGCTTGCCATTGAAATTGTTACAAATTAAAATTAATGAAAATATTGGTTATTCTATAATGAAATGAATATAATAAACAATATATCAGTCTATTTATAAGAATAAGAAGATGTGGTACGAATGCCAATGAGACTGTGACAACTCTCCATAAGAGAACAAATGACACAGACATGAACAGTAAAAGAAATAGAAAATTGGTATAATGGAATATGTAGACCGCTCTCTAACAAGCAAAGAACCCTAACTGTAAAATGTAAAGGCATACACTATTCACTATTTCTTACAATAAAATGAAGGGATAAAATATTTTCGACCAAGACATGCAGGGTTTTTTCCTGGTGCGAGCCTCCTTCACCGTTAGATTTTCAACCATAGAGATGACTGATATTGCCAAATATTTCTAAGCGATCAGATAAAAGTAAGGCTAATAAGATCAAAGTTATTACCTTCTAATGACCAAGAACATTCATACAAACCATGTAGATATGTAAAAAAAGTCTGACCTTATGACAAATGAATTTAGTGTTTCCATATGTATACACATTATATAGCCACTGGTCTGTTGTTGAAGACTGTTTGTTGCCCTCGAGATGAAATCCGGTTATATTTTGGCGTTTTCAGTGGCGGATCCAGAACTTTTTGTAAGGGGGGCCCACTGACTGACCTAAGGGGGGCCCGCTTCAGTCATGCTTCAGTGATTCCCGATATAATCAACCAAATTTTTCCCACAAAAGGGGGAGCCCGGCCCCCCAGGGCCCCCCCCTTGGATCCGCCTATGGTTTTGTTGCTGCCTCATTTACGTATACTCTCCCCTTATTTTCCCTTTAATTCATAACAACACTGGTAAAACATCCCATGTATTTGTTTTTAATTAAACTGACAGTCATAGGAACTGGGCTTTGTTGACTGAAAATCAAATAATATAAATTTCCTATTTGAAAATTTAATGTGATCTTTAATTAAATCAGGATGTATCGAATATTTAACCTTTTTTTATACCATCCCACCGAAAAGCTTATTCTCAGTTTCTCTGCGGTGTTGCCCCTATAAGGATGGAGACAGGACGCTACGAGAGTCTCCTAATAGACTAAGAACTTGGTTGTTTGTGAAGATAAAATTGAACCGGAGGAGCAAGTATTGACTGAATATCCGTTGTGCGGCGATCTTAGAGACGAACTTTATAAGACTTTAAATTTTGAAAACCAAATTTCAAGTCTTTGGCCGAATTCCGTGAAACATTTATTTATATTAACCAATGACAACATTAATGTGATACAAAAATGTGCCAAAACGTGCAAACTTATGTTAGACCAAAGAAGATGTTTTTTTTTATACCGATAATAGATGTAAATATGTTTTATGATTTAACTCTTTTTTTATAATTGCTTTTTGAGAATATGTAAATAAAATAGTTCCTTTTTAATCCGTCGCTCATAATTCTTTTTAGAATGGCATATATAACTTTTTAAAGTTTACTTTTACAAAGTGAAATTTGAATACTGTATTATCGGTGATGAGACGTTAATAAATTATTAACCTATAGCTGTACAATGTAACCTATGGGAATGCAACAAGAGTATAAATCTCAATAACCGAAAATTATACCATAGCTATCTATGGTATAATTTTCACAATTATACCATGGTTTTGTTGTATTTGGTATTCGAAAAGAAAAAAAGGAAGATAGCAAGGCCTATCCGAGGCCGCCTGAATTTTTTTAAATAGGAACAACAGAGTCAGTGTGGGGCCACTAAGCTAAACTGCCCGCTTTGCACCAGCCGATATAAATGAATGCCTAGGGTGGGAATCGAACCCACATACACCAACTCCGGTGTCCTATATTTTTTAAATGAACAAAAATTCGATTCAAGAACAAAGTTTAAAAAAAAAAGTATATATAAATATATTATTATATTATACTTGAAAATATAATTCGATTTTCGGTTATTGAGATGTATACTTGGATTGTATGCCCTTAGGCTCAACTGTATAGCTACATGTAAAGGTTGAAATTTGCCGTGGCGGCTTTTTAAGGGGGAGGGAGGGGGAAGGCATGCCCCTTTCAAGAAGCTTTATATATGGTAAATGCATAGATATTTCGTATTATTACTCCAAATATTGGATGGCTAGACCCCCCTCCTTTTCAAATCCTGGATCCGTATCCGATTTTATATACATCTTTATTTAACGATTTGCTTAAGTAATAACTAGAATGTTGGGCCGTTAAGAATAGAAAGCGTCTGGTTACTCTAAATAAAGGTGAACTTTTGTTTAAATTATCTATAGTCTACATGTGATTTTTAATGATCTTTAATCGTGATCATTTTGAAATCCTTTTTAATTAGATTAAATTAAATGTACAACTTGGGCTTCTGGTACAAATTAAAACATGGAATGATTCATCCAAACTCCCAGAAAGATTCTTGTGAATTAAATTTCCACAGAATTATAAATTAATACCAAAAACTTAAAAACATTTCAAATATTTTGATAAAATAAAAAAAATAAAACTAACCCTTTGCAGTTCAACTTTAAATCTGGGTTCCAGAAATCTTTCAAACTATATCTTGCGTCAATATACATACAGAACATATAATTCCTTCAACAGTTTTTAGTCTGTAACGTTACCCGTCACCAATGTAGATGTGCATCCATCGCTGTCGAAAAATCTTGTCCAACTGATTTCCCCGCTGTTTCGGAAGCCCGTGCGTATTTTATAAAGTAGGCGGAGCTTAATGTGTAAGGTCCTAAAAGGGTAATTTGACCGATTCTTATCAAAATTATTTTTGAAGTTAATAAACAAAAATATATGAAATATACATTTTTAAACAACAACATATGCAATAGGTTAAAACAGATATTTCATATATTTTGGTTAGTTTTGTGGTGTTTCGTAAATTATACCATAGTTTTTTGTTGAAACCCCTCGGCAACCTCACTCGACTTCGTCTCGTGAGGTTATTGCCGGGGGTTTCAACAAAAGCTATGGTATAATTTACGAAACACCACAAAACTATTCAAAAGATATGAAATATCTCAGTATAACTTATTGTATTGTATTGTATTGTTTAAATATCTGATGTCTTTTCTTGAGCCTGTTCACAAATCCTCGACAATATTCACTTTCACTTGCTACCTTCTACCATCAAGGCTTACCATTATACTTTTATTCAGTAGAAAAAATAATTAATTAATCAATTAAAAACAAAGTTCAGCAGATAAAGCTAAGTTTAATTTGAAAATCGATTGAATGATTTACATTCAGATCTTGGAACAACAAAAAGTATTGATATACCGAAGCTGTTGTTAAAAACAATTTCGAATTCAGACTTATATTTTCGTATAAAAAATTGTGACTGCAGCGGGCAATCACAGAAACTTGGTGTTTCACTTAACTATAACTATTTAGCATGCAACAAACAATTGGTAAAGTCGCAATTATATCACCCATCTTTTTGCCAAATATTTTACGTTGAATACAAATTCATATTGCTTACTTAAGAAATATAATTATCCAGCTCTGAATGATAGGGCAAATAAAGGCATCAATTATATACCGCTGTTCAATAAATCAATTAAGCGAAAAAAAATCTGGGTCAAAAACCAAAAATGAATGAAACACATCAACCATAAGATGAAAACAACGGAACAACAGAAACGCTGAACTGCAACAAAAAAAAAAAAAAAACGCCAACATACATAGAAACGAACTTCTTGGTAACAACTGCTAAACTATCCATATTAATTGTTGAATTTGATTTTTTTTTCTTTTATTGATTGAAAAAAATTTCCCGGCATGGTCTATTTTTGTTTGTTGAAACGGCTACCAGTTTAAATATTGATGTTAAAACATTGCTAACCTCGTACTTTCGCGGTCAAAACCTTAAGTGAATTTAGCGTATGAACAGCGTAAAAATCATACTTAAGCGTATCAAACCATTAAATTTTAGCTCATGCAATCGTAATAATTTTGACCACTGCACGTTAGAGTCCTAAACATTTACTTTCCCCCCCCCCCCCCCAAAAAAAAAGCAGTAAATTATTCACGTAATAGGCACTGAGTGCTGTCTGAACGGTACTTTGGTGACTAACATTCTACAAGCAGCTGCATTGATCAAGATCGAGTTGTAAATGGTGAATATCGAAGAAATCAAAATTGATATCATGACGTCAATTCATATACATTGATATTAAAAAACAAAGCTTATATAAACAGCTTTTTTTCATTTGAGTTCATTTCGTGTGTATTAATATTCTTCTTTGTGTTCTGTAGGAAGAATTGAATGTTGAAATGTTGAATTATGTACGTCTAGCGAAAACAGTTACAGACTTGATGCCGGAGGTAATGGTAGAACACTTAAGATCTGATGGATTCGAACTCACAGGAAATACCAGCGTGACATTTCGATCTCTATTCACATCTTTCCAACTACAAAACAAACATAAACCAACAACCGGAAAGTGGGCAAGTCCAATGTGCCCGAATGAAGACACCGAGATATGTATAGGTGATGATGTTAAACGATGGCGTTTCATCCTCACTGAACTGAAGAATCATTCAAAAATAAGTGACGAATCTTTCGTAGATCTTGAAAACGTCTTGGCAAATCTATTCATCCGATCTGAGAAACTTTTAGAAAGTTACTCGTTTGTTAGCAAATTTCAGAAGATAATGACTGGAATGTTTGAAGCAAACGATTATGATTTCTATCTGCAGAAGATAAAACATGGTTAGTATACATCAAACTTTAGCTTAAAATCAACTACTTAAATTGAGTGGTTCACTTTGACTCCTTCTATGTTCTATTACAAAAATAAACTTTTTTGAAACATCAAGTACAAGATTGTTTCAAACCGTTTCACTCTCGTAAAATATTTAGTAAGGAGAATTCCGGATTCTGGATGCGACCCTATCAATTTCGTCGAGCAGAACTAAGCTGAAAATACTTTGACGTTCTTTATGGTTTGTCTGTTCTTCGACTTATTATTCTTTATTGTTCCCTTTTGTGTCTTTTAGTTTATCATTAGATCATTATTTAATTTATTATGTACACCTCGGCGTACTTTATTAATTTCAAATCCTAAATAAACGTATAAATTTGTATTTATAGGACGTTAATGCGTTCGAATGTTATAACATGTTTAGTTTATAAAATTACAGAAATTATCCCCGATACATTCGAAATCAACATCAGACGCCATTATCAGATGATTATACAGGAAATATCTGTAAGCAAAGTCTTGGACCAAATGATGACCCACTGCATGTTAACCAGTGATGACAGACGCCATATCGAACAACATGTTAGACACGCTGACCAAAATCAGGCGTTGCTAGATATAATCATTGATAGGAATCGTTCCACGTTTAATGTATTTATTGATGCTTTGCGGGAAAGCGAAAACGATGGTATAGCCGAACTCCTTAGCTGCGATCTAGAAGATATCACAGAAGATACAAGAACGGCACAAATAGAAGGTTTTAATATTGTTCATGTTTCATGTGGTTTCCAAGTTATCACTGTTCAAAGTGGTATATTCAACTACAATTCTTATCTAAGTATACTTAAACAAATATGCAAAACAAGGCTAGGGCTTAGGTGCAAGGCCAGAATTTAACATAACCAATTATGAATTCGACAAATTGAAGTACTTTTATTCCAAAATTATTTGTTTTTCATCAACTGATAAAGCGTCAATGGATGAAGACTAAACGAGACTTTTGTTTTATAATTGCAATGTTTGAAGCGTAATTGTTTAACGATTCAAGTTTTACTGTTGGACACTGAAGAATTTTTTTTTTAAATATCAACAAAACTTCGTGCCTTGTATTTTTACGGGGATCGATTAAAAATTGCAGCCATTTCAGCACAGTTTCTTAAATGATAAGAATTATATACAGTATGTACTTGATGTGAAGATTGCCTATCATTGATTGATAAATCTTTCTATATGAAAACACCCCTACTGCTACGACCAAATTTTATCAATCTAGAAAAGGAGTGTGAATTTCAAAATACTATTAGTTGAAGATAAAATCAGAGGAAAAGGGGGTAGAAAATCATAGTGTACATAGTCTGATAAGTCTATCCATGGTTGTCCTGGAATGGTCGAAATTAAAACTAAATACGTAAATGGTCAACTTTCTGCAACGATTTTAAATCCGGATTTTTTTTCTTTTTTATTAAAACAAATGGTTTTGTTTTATTATCATAACTACTTATTCATTTAATTAACTTTTTGTCTATTTAACTGCTTATTTAGCTAATTGTCGTACTATTATTATATATATATGTATACGTTAACATTGCCTCTAACAAATTCCTTTATTTTTATGTACATTGTTTTAAGCTGTATGAAGAAGGTCATTTCCGTATATATATATTTTTTTTTCTATTTGGACAAAAATTATATTCGTTGTTTAAAAAATTATCGGATGCCACCTATTTACATAATGGCTACCAAAAATACATGGTGCTTGAATTCTATCAAAACTTTAATTTCACTGGAAACTTATAATCTTGATTATTTATTCCTGGTGTCAAAATTGACCCATTAAAATAATTTATTTGCTTCAGTACTAACTATTTTTTATGTGCCTCACTCCAAAATGTGCAAGAGGGAGCCTTGATGCCATGTCAGTTTTCAACTTCATTTCTGTATTTTTTTCAAAATTTAAAAGCTGAGAAATATTTTTCTTTTGACATTTTTCAGGATTGTCAGCATGGACTCTTCCATTACATAAGGTACGTCTGCAGAAGAATTACATAGATATCATAGCTACCATTAAACACGAGGCCATAGTAGATCATTTGATATCGTGTGAATTATTAACAATAGATGACCAGCAAACTGTAGAGGCTTGTCCAGCACAGACTGAAAAGAACAGGAAGTTGATGGACCGACTATTGCATTGTGGAGAGAAATGCTTTATGGAATTTTTAAATGCTTTACGTTCTGATGACATTTATGTAGATCTTGCAAATCAGATAGAACAAACAGATGTCACTAGTATTGATATTGCTACTCTTCAGTGCTGTTTTACTAAAATTAAGACATTACATAACTTATAAACTGAGTAGTTATACCCATTCAACCATGTATATATATACATGTATTAAGCTTCTAATGATGAAACACGCATGCTCAAGAATTATTATCATATGAACTGTTTCTTCGCTTATCAACTCACCGGTCTTAAAGGGAAAAGTGAGCTTTTCTCAACATTTGGTGTCCGTCGTCTGTTGTCGTCCGTTAACTTTTACAAAATCTTCAAAAACTACTTGGCCAAATTTAACAACACTTAGCCACACTCATCATTGTGGTGGCTAGTCTTAGAATGTGTCTGCCAAACAACATGGCCGACATGACTAAAATAGAACATAGTGGTAATATGCAAGTTTTGTCTATTATCTTGAAAACCGCTTGAAAAAGACAAAGTCTGATAGGTCAATGAAAAATGTTCCGAGTGTTGAGATCTACATTGTCCCTAACGTCCATTAGGTAAAAAATGCCAGACCACTTCTTATTAGAGTTAAAGCCTTTAAATGAAGGATTTGACTTTTTTCCACTTTTGCATAGTATTTTGAAAACTATAATGGATACAGAAAAACGTTAAATAGCGAAAAGGGTCAGCAAAACAAGATCTACAAATAAGTCAAACATGGTCGAAATCGTTGCCCTTTAATAACGAATTGACCATTGTTTGCATATTTGCCTAATATCTTAAAAACTTAAAAAAGCCAAATTGATCAAAAAGATCTGCAAATAAGTCTAATGGCCAAAATCGTCAG